AGTACAAGTACTACAAAAAGTACTAATACTACTACTATTACTACACCAAGTGAGCACAAATACTAATACAAATGTACTACTACTACTACTTCTACTACTACTACTAACTGACTTTAGAGGCACGTTAACCCACTTTACCACTAAGTACAAATACTACATAAAAGTACTACTACTACTACTGCTACTGCTGCTGCTACTACTACTAGTACTACTGAGCAAAAATACTAACACAAAACTACTACTACTACTGCTACTATTATTATACTACTACTACTGCATCTGGACACAAATACTCACACAAAAGTAGTACCACTATTGCTACTACTACTACTTCTACTACACCTGAGCACAAATACTAACACAAAAGTACTACTACTACTACTGCTACAACAACAACTGAGTATGAATACTAACACGAAAGTACTACTACTATGACTGCTACTACTACTACTACTACTTCTGCAACAACTGAGTACGAATACTAACACAAAAGTACTACTACTACTACTACTACTACTACTTCTGCTATAACTGAGCACAATATATTAACACGAAAGTACTACTACTACTACTTCTACTACAACTGAGTACGAATACTAGCACAAAAGTACTACTACTACTTCAACTGGACATAAATACACACATAAAAATACCACTGCTACAAATGGGCACAAACACTAACATAAAAGTACTACTACTACTACAACTGAGCATAAATACTTACACAAAAGTACTAATACTCGTGGGAGTAGAGCAGCAGACTTGTGCCTTCATGTTTTTTTGTTTTTTTTTCATGTGATTAAACCTGAACATTTACAAACCCGAGTGTTTTCGGACGCAAAACTCGCCCTGAACCTGAAGCCAGCCAGAATTTAACTCCTAAATGTGCAGCGTTTGTGCGTTAAACACGTGAAAATGAAACAAAACACAACTCGAGTGTGTGTTTGTGACGAGGAAACGACACGAGAACAGAAAACAGGGTGATACTGTCTGTTTAATCCTGCGTCCGTGTCTCTGTTTTCTGTGTTTTGTGTTTTTTCTCTGCTGCAGTTACAGTGAGTCACCAGAGGGGGCAGCAGAGCGTCCGTCCCGTCACATTCCTGTCCACATTCCAGAGTCACAGACGCTTCGGGACACGACCGGCTCCTCCCGCACTTACAAAACTCACAGGCCCACATGCGGCGACTATCTGTGTGTGAACGAAAACCAACAAACAAACAAACAAACAAACAAACAAAGAGACGCGGAGAGCGAAGTCAGGACTGAACAGAACTCAGAGGAACCAGGAAAAAAAACAACAACATCAATGTTCATTTTTAAAGATTTATTCCAGTTTCCAGTTCCACTTTTATCTCCACTAAATAAATCAGAAACATAATATGAACAAAACAAAAATGTATTATACAAATTAACAAAACTAAAATAATAAAACTAATGACACATGACAAAATATAATAAACTCAATCTTAGAATAAATAAAATAAAAAAATCTCTCGTAAAATCACAAAAAACACAAAAAACTCAGTAAACTGCGTCTGCACCTGAACAAAAGTGAGTCTCAACATGTGGTGCTACTGTGAGCGAACCTCAGAGTACTACAACTGAACACAAATACTAACAAAAGTACTAAGTAAAGTACTACTACTGCTACTACTATTATTACTGCTACTGAGTACAAATACTCACATAGAAGTACCACTACTACTACTACTACAACAACAGAGCACAAATACTGACTAAAGTACTAAGTAAAGTACTACTACTACAACTACTACTGCTGCTGAGTACAAATATTAACATAAAAGTACTACTACTACTACTACAACTGAGCACAAATACTAACTAAAGTACTAAGTAAAGTACTGCTACTGTTACTAGTGCAACTATTTTTCTTACTACTGCTACTACTACTACAACAACTGAGAGAAATACTAACGAAAGTACTAATTAAAGTACTAAATACTAGTACTACTTCTACTACTATTATTACTACTGCTACTACTGCTGCTACTCAGTACAAATACTAACATGAAAGTACTACTACTACTACTACTACAACAACTGAGCACAAAAACTCACACAAAATACTACTACTAATACTACCACTACCACTACCACTACTACTACTACTGCTACTACTACTACTAAGTGCAAATACTCACATAAAAGTACTACTACTGCTACTATTACTACTACTACTACTACTGAGCACAAATATTAACAAAAAAGTACTACTACTACTACTGCTACTATTACTACTACTGCTACTACTACTATTGAGTACAAATTCTAACATAAAAGTACTACTGCTACTACTACTACAACAACTTAGCATAAATACTAACTAAAGTACTAAGTAAAGTACTGCTTCTAGTACTACTACAACTACTACTTTTATTACTACTACTACTACAACAACTGAGCACAAAAACTCACACAAAGTACTACTACTAATACTACTACCACTACTACCACCACCACTACTACTTCTACTACTACTACTACTGAGTGCAAATACTCACATAAAAATACTACTACTGCTACTATTACTATTACTACTACTACTACTACTACTACTATTGAGTACAAATTCTAACATAAAAGTACTACTGCTACTACTACTACTACAACAACTGAGCATAACTACTAACTAAAGTACTAAGTAAAGTACTGCTACTAGTACTACTACAACTACTACTTTTATTACTACTACTACTACTACTACTACTGAGCACAAATACTAACAAAAGTACTAATTAAAGTACTGAGTACTACTACTACTTCTATTTCTACTACTACTACTGCAGCTACTCAGTACAAATACTAACATGAAAGTACTACTACTACAACAACTGAGCACAAAAACTCACACAAAGTACTACTGCTAATACTACTACCACTACTACCACCACCACTACTACTACTACTACTACTACTACTACTGAGCACAAATATTAACACAAAAGTAGTACTACTGCTACTACTACTACAACAACTGATAACAAATACTCACATAAAAGTACTACTACTACTGCTACTACTACTATTGAGTACAAATACTAACATAAAAGTACTACTACTACTACAACTGATAACAAATACTCACATAAAAGTACTACTACTACTGCTACTATTACTACTACTACTACTACTACTGAGCACAAATATTAACACAAAAGTAGTACTACTGCTACTACTACTACAACAACTGATAACAAATACTCACATAAAAGTACTACTACTACTGCTAGTACTACTATTGAGTACAAATACTAACATTAAAGTACTATTACTACTACAACTACTACTACAACAACTGATAACAAATACTCACATAAAAGTACTATTACTACTTATTTAGTAACATGTCTGTGATGGACTCTGGGGACACAGTCTACAGACGACTGAACGATCCAGCTGACAATTTTAATTTTAATTTTAATTTTATGTCCGTGTGCTCGAGTGAGGACAGTAGTTCCTCTGACTAAACAGAACTGGGGATTATACGGCACATTTATGTCCGGGATAAAATGAATGAACAGAAAATGAATAAACAGGAGTTACTGGAGTTTGGGCTTCACTGTGATAAAAATTTAAGAAAGTAAAAAGGGAGTCTACAAATGTTTGGAGGCGACTGTAGAAGCTTGACTTAAAATTCAAAAGAGTTCATTTAGAAAACGTGAAAACTACCACTTCATTACATGACAAGGTGGAACAGAGCATTTAGAGTTTTGGAGATGTAAACAGACTAATAATAAAGATTTACTCAAACGTGTGAATGAAACAAAACACAAATCCAGGTCTGTTTTTCAGGAGGAAACAACATTAGAACATGATTTAAAGTTCATAAGAGTCAGTTTGTGTAATAAGAACTTTTGTATTTGTGGTTTGTTTGCCTCCATTTGCATTTGTGTAAGTGTCAGTAATTATTTACAGTATCTTGATGTCTTATTTTGAATGTTACTTCGTCTCCTTTGTCTGTTATTCATTATAGTTCTAGTTGATATTGTCTGATTTCTCTGGTGAACTCTTGTGTTCATGGTTGAGTTTTGTTTGTATCATTTACATTTGTACAAGTGTAAGTCTTTATTTACAGTTGTATTTTGATGCCAGTTCAATTCATCAATCAATCAATTATCAGTTCATCTTTATTCCAGTCCCAGGATCCATTTTTAAAACATTCTTGGTCTGTATGGATCTGCTTTTAAAGACAGATGTACCAGTGTCTCCACCTGCTGGACTCATGTGGTATTGCACTGAATCTCATATTTGTACGTGACATTATACATATGTCCAGTGTTGGGAAGGTGACTTTTAAAATGTAATCCCCTACAGATTACAGATTACATACCTCAAAATGTAGTTTGCAACGTAATCCTTTAAATTAATTTAGGTGAGTAATATAATCTGAATACTTTGGATTACTTGATTTGTTGTAGAGAAACAAAGACGAGGAAATCTTCACATAAGAAGTTTTATCTATTAAAAGAAAATAAAAAGTCCAGACTTTACTGAACCGTATTAAAAATATTATTGATAGAAGACGAGGAGACACGTCCACACAGCATGTTTTAGTCCTGTTTTAGTCTTGTTTTAGACCTGGTTTAGACCTGGTTTAGATCGAGTTTAGTTCTGGTTTTAGTCCTGGTTTAGACCTGGTTTAGTTTCCAGCAATGAGTGGAATTACTGAAAAAAAAAAAAAAAAAAAAGTGGGGGGGATACAGCCCAAAATGTGAAAACAGGAAAATCCCGCCATGTAATCCATTTATTTCAACAAAGTAACTGTAATCCAATTACCACTCACTGAAACAGTAACTGTAACTGAATACAGTTACTCATAATTTGTACTCTGATTACATAACTCCGGTACATGTAATCTGTTACTCCCCAACACTGACTTCTTCTCTGCGCAGTAAAACTCCTCCGCTCTCCTGTGTTTCTCCTGCAGTTCCTCCTCTCTCCTGGCAGATGGCGCTCTCTCCTCGCGCTCCCTTCTCCGC